CCACTCCACGCCACCCAACACTGTTGGCAAATATTTGAGAAATCCATCAACCAATGAAAGATGCCGTTTAAATCTCGCGGCATTCAAACTACTTTTTCTGGCCCTCCGATCATCTCCACTCCACGGCCGGATGGAACGTCGCACCGCGGCATAGGGTCAACCAAAACTTTTCGGAACGTCAGTGGGACTTGTCCCCTGTTAAGTGTCCTTTTGGATTCTCTTACCCTGTGCGACCGAGCCGGGCAGCATTCCACCAAAAGAGGGGTTGCAAAATTCACAGATTTTGCGGCGATGCCACCACTGTGTGACACAGGGTCCTTTATGGCAAAATAGCTAAAATTTGATGGTTGGGCCAGTCACAGGAGGCTGGTAAAGTGGCAAAAGCAGCAAACGGGGTATCAAATGTCAACACCTGGCGCCCCGCAGGGAAAGCCATTTTGCTATCACCTCTGGAGGTGGCGTCGAATTTTCTTTTCCAGTTCGAGAGTTCATGAAAGGAAATTCAAAACGAACTTAGTAAAAAAAATAAAATGCGCTGTGTGGCCACACTGGGCACCATTTTGGGGCTTGCCGCGTGTCTTTTGTGAATTGCTGCCGCTATGTGACCCAGCGGGGTGTCATTTCAGCGTTTCAGCAAAATCGGGATAGCAAAATTTGGAGATTTCGCTGCTATTCCACCCCTGCGACAGCTAATCACATAAGACACGAGCTGAACTTTCTGGCAATTGCCAAAATGGTGCCTGGCGTGGTCACATAGCGCGACTTTTTTTTCTTCAACAAAGTTCGTTATGAATTTCCTTTTTTCTCAACAAAATTCGTTTTGAATTTCCTTTCACGAACTCCCCAACTGATGAGAAAGAAAAATTGCTACCACCTCCACACGTGGTAGCAAAATGCCCCTCCCTGTGGCGCACCAGGCCGCTGGTGCTGACATTTGATACCCCGTTTGCTGCTCTTGCCAGTGTCCCAACCATCAAATTTTAGCTATTTCGCCATATGTAAAGGCCCTACGGTCTTCCCCCGAACATAACGCACCCTGAAAGTGAACGTATACAAGGTATGTTTCGGGCCCGATACAGGCAAAATGGGGGTGCGTTGTGTTCGGGGGAAGACGGTAGTGTCAGTAGGCCACAAGGGTGCGGCCCGCCAGGCCGCTGACCACCAGTATCCCAAATGGCTTTGCAACGGGGCAATGACGTCCAGATATAGAACGAAGGAAATCAGAGTCAGAAAATACCCCCTCCCACGGGTATCGCCACAGCGTCGGAGGTCGATCTGATGCCCCACCTATGCGGACTCGCTTGAAGTAAAAGAATTCGCCGCCAAAATGGAACTGCCACTGCAGTCGAGAGACACGCGTATAATTGCATCTCGAAAAGACCGTTACTCGGATCCCTTCGAATATAGGTTTCTAAAATAAGGTTCACAGCCAGGACAGTAAATTCACTTTTACAGCAAAAGCCCAGCGAAGATCACATTTACGCTTAAAGAGACGAGCCACCAGAGGCCGGGCCAGAGGAAGCTACCAAACCGAAAGTTTCAATCCAAAATGCAGGTGTGAGATTCGCTCCCCGTGTGTGACAAAAACTCAACAATCATTCACACACACACACACACACACACAGAGAGAGAGAGAGAGAGAGAGAGAGAGAGAGAGAGAGAGTTAAATGGGCTGCCAATGAGAGAGAGAGAGAGAGAGAGAGAGAGAGAGAGAGAGAGAGGGACACGAGAAAACCTGGCCCCCACAGCACGAGTCAGTACAACCAAAAACACATCGCCGGTCGCACATAGGACAGCGTTACACTCGCTACAACCAGAGAGAGAGAGAGAGAGAGAGAGAGAGAGAGAATCGGACACGAGAAAACCTGGCGCACACAGCACGCACTCAGTAGAACCAAAAACACATCGCCGGTCGCACATAGGACAGCGTAACACTCGGTACAACCAAAACCCACGGACTTAAACCCCCTTCTACAGCCAAAAACGCACAACTTCAACCACATGAAATTCCACAGTGACTCTGCTTCAGTCAGCGATTATTACCATCCTCCCGCAAATTTCGAAAAATTGAATTCGTCTTTTGAACTTCAGTCAAAATCGCAATTCACCCACTCCACCCTTGACGAAATGTAAACAACGAATTGAGTCCACTTGCATGCCCCATCCCGACCAGTGCGACCACCCTACGCCAACTCCACCATATCACCAGCAATGCATGGGCTTCAAAAGAGCTGAACTCAGCCCTAAGCCCTAAATCCGTTATATGAATGGACTTATTCGACAAATTGCATTCCACTCTTGCCCACCTCCTGACCGGCATCACCGCATTGACCTCAATCAAGAATAAACCGTCCAACAAAACCCACCTCCTGAGCACCAACGACAACCGAACAGAACTCCAGCAAGAACCACATCCTGAGAACCAACGACAAACAAAAGACAAACGACGCCACCTCCTCAGCACCATCGACAACAGATCAAACTCCAGCAAGAAGCACATCCTGAGCACCAACGATAAAAAAAAGGCAAACGACGCCACCTCACGGGTCTTTCCATAACGCCAATAAAAGACTTCAAAGTGGAAACAAGCCGATAACGCCAAGAAAGATCCTGAAAGCGAAAACACGCCGAAAAATCTCAGCGGTACCGCGTGCTGTATATATCGGCTTGTCGACTACCTTCTTCCGTCGATTGATTCACGACGTCGAATCAGCAAGTCGACTTATCGTGGCATTTCTATTTTGTCTTTTTTCTAGCAATTAAGCAGGTACCGGTCGCCTTGTTTACGGCGTTTCCATAATTTTTTTTCAAAAGCGATTAAGGGCATACTACATTCAACGTTTTCTACTACACTAACACGTAGTTGCAGTCAGATTCATCCTGGTCTGTTGATTCACAATGACGAATCAGCACGTCGGCTTATTATGTCTTTTTTTTCTAGCGATTAAGCAGGTAGCACGTCGACTTGTCGGCGGCGTTTCCATAATTTTTTCTGAAATCAGATTAAGGGCATACTCATTACGATTTTTCCTAGTGAGCTGTGGACGTACTTGCAGTCAGATTCATCCTGGTCAGGCCGTAAAAGCAGTCAGATGCATTTAAAAACGTTTTAGCGTGAGTATGCCCTAAAAACGTGTTAGGTTCACTGCTCAGCGCTACCCCTTCACCACAAAACACCACTCGAAATAGACCACGTCCATTTGATATCGTGTCTCCCCTCGACAGTTCTTTCGCTTTTATAGACCACGTCGATTTGATATCCTGTCTCCCCGTCGACAGTTCTTTCTTTTTTTTCGTCCTTGTCGAGAAAAATGACATGCAAAGCAGACCACATACCACTGTCAAGATCTCCTACTCCCATAATCAGGACTGTCGCTATACTCTTCGCACAGCGCACGCTAATCACAAATGTATACAAGCTGCAAGGCCGGTCAGATACCGTGATACTATAGCCTGTATACAAGCTAAAAGGCCGGTCAACATCAACATCCAGCCTCTTTCCCTACCGTCGAAGTCGGCACCAGACGGAAAAAAAAAACACAGAACCAACCATAAACCGACTCCCTCGAAGGTCTGGCTGGCAGTGGCTGCCCTGTACTGATTTTTCCCCTTCTCGAACTCCTCTAATGTACAACAAGTATATGGAATACACTTTCCCTTTCAAATTCAAAGAGCTGACCGTAAAATCGCAGCAAAACAGGAAAAAACAAAAAAGCACGACGAAAAAAAAAACAACAGCAACAGCAACAACAACCGACCGTCAACCCCAACTCCCTCGACGCTCTGGCTCTAGCTGCTCTGGTATTGACTAATCCCTCCCTCGGACTCCTGTCTCTAACGTACAACTTCTTCACCGTACACTTCCCTCAAGAGACCGTACACTTCCTTCAAGAGAAAAAAGATGCAACAACAACAACAACAACAACAACAACAACCACAACCGGCTTCTTGACCGTACACTTCCCTCGAGAGACCGTACACTTCCCTCAAGAGACCGTACACTTCCCTCAAGAGACCGTACATGACAACAACAACCACAACCACAACAACCACAACAACCACAACAACACAACAACAACAACAACCACAACCGGCAACCAACTCGCTTGAAGCGCTGGCTACGTGACCGTGTAATGACTCTCCCCTCAATTGGACTGGTGTAGTATACAGCTTTGTGACCGCAGACAGGGCGGCGACGTCTCTTTGACGACCCTATCCTTCGGCCTCCACCTCCTTGGCTTCATCGAGACCAGCGCATCAAAAAGACATCGAGCACATCCGTTTGACGAGGACAGGACGAGGACGGGATGCCAGACGCCCAAGCAGATACGATTCAGTATCACTGTGAGCGAAAATCTTGAGAATCTGTCACACTTCTCTTCTCTCTTCATACCTAACTCCATCCTCTCAGTGGCGGAAGGAGAGTGTTTAACGAACACCGTTTCCGATCCTTCTCCTCGGTCTGCGTCCACCCATTGTCATGAAGCATTTCCAAGTGTTCAACTGCCGCTCGTGAATGGAGACGACCCTCCTATCCCTCCTCTTCCCTGCCATGAGGTACCATGCTCTCCCCGCTTCACTGCCCGGCGGTACTCCTGCCCTGCCCACGTCCCTGCCCTGCATCCCCGTGCCCTCCGCGGGTTGCCGACCCACCTGTTCCCCCACTTCCTTCCTGCCCGGTGGTACCCGTCCTTCCCATGCCGGGGGATGCCGACCCTCCTTCCCGCCCTGTGGTACCCGCCGTCCGAGTGGTAGACGATGTCGATCTTCCCCCTGCAGATCCCGTTTCTCCACTGCGTCCTTGTCCTCCGCTCCCCTTCCCTCCGGTAGTTGATGTGTCACTCGCTCCCCCAGCTCCTCCTTGACCTGATGTACCCCCCGCTGTCCCCGACGTCGGGTATGCTGATCCTCCGCCCTGCTCTGTGGTACCGCTCCTACCAGCCGTCCCCGTCGTTCCCGTCGTTGATCCTCCACCTCGCTCTGCAGATGAGCTACCCGCCCCCCCAGTTCCTCCTTGCCCTGCAGATGTGCCACCCGCACCCCCGGACGTCGTTCCCGTCGTTGACCCTCCTCCTTGCCCTGCAGATCTGCCACCCGCCCCCCCAGCTCCTCCTTGCCCTGCAGATCCGCCACCCGCCGGCCCTGTTGTTGAACCTCCGCCACCTGTGGTACCCCTGGTACCAGTAGTCCCCGTCGTTCCCGTCGTTGATCCTCCTCCTTGCCCTGCAGATGAACCACCCGCCCCTCCGGCTCCTCCTTGACCTGACGTACCCCCCGTTGTCCCCGTCATCGGGGACGTTGACCCTCCGCCTTGCCCTGAGGTACCCCTAACACCACTCGTCCCCGTCGTCCCCGTCGTTGACCCTCCTCCTTGCCCTGCAGATGAGCCTCCCGCCCCTCCCGCTCCTCCTTGCCCTGTGGACGTGCCACCCGCCCCCCCGGATGTTGATGTTCCGCCTTGCCCTGAGGTACCCCTACTACCACTCGTTCCCGTCGTTCCCGTTGTTGACCCTCCTCCTTGCCCTGCAGATGAGCCACCCGCCCCTCCAGCTCCCCCTTGCCCTGTAGATGTGCCACGCGCTCCCCCTGATGTCGATCCTCCGCCGTGTCCCGAGGTACCCCTACTACCACTCGTCCCCGTCGTTCCCGTCGTTGACCCTCCTCCTCGCCCTGCAGATGAGCCACCTGCCCCTCCAGCTCCTCCTTGCCCTGTGGACGTGCCACCCGCCCCCCCGGATGTTGATGTTCCGCCTTGCCCAGAGGTACCCCTACTACCACTCGTCCCCGTCGTCCCCGTCGTCCCCATCGCTGATCCTCCTCCTTGCCCTGCGCTGCCCGTGGTGCCTGCCGTGGCGGACGTCGATCCTCCGATCCCCGTGTGAACACCCTGTCGCTCTCCTTCACGGCCTTTCCCTCCCACCCTGCTCTCCTCTTCCGTAGGCGGGATTATCAATGCGTCCTCGCTAGATATCGAATCAGCGTCCTGAATACCATTGACCTCCCTCAGCCTCGCCTTTGGCACACCGAACTTCTCCGCAACGCTGTCCAGAGTGTCGCCCCTCTTCACTTCGTACACATGCGGAATCCACAGGACCTGACCCGCACTCAGCTTCTTACTGCCCGGAATATCGTTGACTTCAATCAGAAAATGGCGGGGGACGTCGAACTTGTCCGCGATACCTTCCAGCGTGTCGCCATCTTTCACAGTGTAGTAGACGTTGTAGTTCCCTTTGTCCCCCGACTTCGCCTCTCTCTGTCCCTCTCCGGAGGGAAAGAACGTGCTCAACTTCGATCTAAACCACCGTACGAAGCGCAACGGGTTGCTGCCGTCCCCCTCCTCGCTACCTCCAGACGACGTTCTCCTGCCCTCATCACCTTCGGTTCTCGCTGCCGCCAGCCAAAATGGCCTTGAACGGGACTTCCTGCTCGCCCTCGTGGAACCAGGTCCCACCTTGCTCAGCCTTGTGGAAACGAGTCCCACCTTCAACGGGACACCGCTTGCAACAGAACTTAGGTGCAGCTCTGCCCGACGGAAGTCACGTGCACAGAATGAAGGAGCTGCTTGAGTCGACGCTCCTCCGCCATTCCGGGATAGCAACCATGTCCGCACTCTCCTTGCGCGGGCACCAGATCCTGCATCTCGCCGATCACATGCAATCACACCGGGCGGTGCAATTGAATGGAGGCTGCCTGCGCTCGTCAACGCCATGGCCATCCTGTTGATCGGTGTTCACAATCACAATGGCTTGCACACAGACTGGAGCGATCACGTCTTGAAATCACTGCGCAGAACACCAGACTCCCACTCCAGCGATCGGCTGCTTCCCCTCCTGCGTGCTTCAGTTACTGACGAGACCGTGCCAATCAGCGTCTGGACAATCGCTGCGTTACAACACCGCTTCACAACAACGTATATGAAGGGCATGGCCATTTATTTTATAGGGAAAATTACTCCAACACTGATACCACGCCCGGGCGTGGGGGCGCAGCCAGGACGGCGGCGGACCGGTAGTAACGCAACCGCGCCGGCACAGTGCAGAGGGCGGCACCCACTAGCAAAGAGAATTGCATAACGCGCCTGAATCTGGATGTGTTCTACGTGCAGATGCGGAAAAGCATATCACTTGCAGATTTGTGCACCTCTCCGTAATCCCGTCCCGATCCACGTGGGCGGGAGATCCCATCATCTTTGCTAGTGGTAGCTAGCCCCGAGTGCTGCCTCGCTCTCTAAACTGGTGCTGATTCCCAACTGCCGAAGCCGCCCGCTCACTGCATTTCCCCTCCCTCTCATCCTCTCTCCTCCTGGGGCCAAGTCCCACTATCAGCGTTGAATTTCCTCAACCCCTGAATGTGGACGCGTTCGTGGCGATGTGCCGTTGAGGAAACTCAACGCGATTTCTGCACATCTCCACAGACACGTCCCGATTCAGGCGTTGAGGAAACTCAATGCTGCTAGTGGGACCTGACCCCTGGCTATCTCGTGTCCACAGTGTGAGGCTCCATCACAGCGCAGCACAGTCCCCATGTAACAAAAGGAACATAATCGAAGAATTAAAAAAAAAAAGAAAAACATCGAGCCTGCCACAGTACACTGCTCGGCCCACCAGCTCGGCCGTTTTGCCCTTTTTTTTTCCCGTTTTGAGGCGTACATGCGTTCGATAAGGATTGCACGTATATCTTTTCGAACGTCTTTTCGAACGTGTATCTTCCGCTCAATGATCCTTTCCCGGTCTTTGCTGGCCGTGCGCCCGGCTCGTTCCCAACTAATATCTGCCATGGGGCGCTTGCACGTATAGGACCGCACCCCATAACTCTCCGCGAGAAGGATTGAACGGTCTATAAATACGGAAATTGCGAACGCTATGTTCGTCCGTCGGGACATCCGCTAAAATTGGAACGGTACAGAGAAGGTTAGCATCACACCTCCTCCGTAAGGATGACACGTATGACATTCGTTAAAATTGGAACAACACAGAAAAACTAATTAAAATTGGAACAACACAGAAAAACTAAGCATGGCCCCAATAAAAGAAAAAGAAAAAAAAGAAATGGTCCAATTCTTTTCCTGTTATTGGCCCCCCGTTCTGGACTTTTTTGTAGCGACGAAGCGAATCAAAGGCAAGCAAGTAAGCACAGCCAGCCACTGCCACTGTGCTGCTGCTGGCTTCAGTGGCTAGATGATGCTTTGGGCTCTTCTGCAAACAACAGAGGTCTACGACACCTAAGGATGCCCATTTTCGGGAGTGCTGCGAATAACCATTTTCGTGGTCATTTTCGAGAGTGCGGCACTCCGATGGGGTGGGGGAAGTAGATGGCAGGCGCAACTACTGGCAAAATGCTCAGTTTTTGCGTTAGCCAGCCCCCCCAATTGGCAGCTGCACGGGGGTAGGCGATTTATCTCTTCCCACAGGTGACGGGTGAAGTCGTTTCATCTTCCTCTAAAATTGTTTCCAAGTTTGCGACCCCCTTGCAAATCTTGCTATAGGTTCTTCCCACTCGCCAACACCTCGTACCTTTGCTATATCCTGGTTACTCCCCATCCATACTCTGCATGCGCGTAGAATAACCCCATAAATATTTTTTGGTTTCCACCATCATAAAATAGCGATCTCCTCTCTTTGACTGATCCCTGCTGCCTCCCCTGTCTGGTCATCCCTAGAGGAGTTTTCACTAGCCCCGCCCTGCGTTGCCACTTGTATGCACCCGCGTATGAGTACGGATTCGTACTCTTGTACTCGTACGCTAGGGGCCCCGTACGAGGTTTTTTTTTTTTTCCTTTCTGAAATTGTAATAAGAATCTGAAGATGATGCTCAGCCAAACGTTGCTTGTTTGTGCTGTTGCATCATTTATGTTTTTTTCGGATTTTTTTGATGACTTTTTTTTTTTTTTTTTTTTTTTTTTTTTTTTTTTTTTTTTTTGTATGGGGGCGTACAAGACGTACAGGTTTCCGTAAAGGTTCCTGTACAAATCCCGTACAAATATTACCTGTACGTTTCCTACGGAAAGACCCCGTACGTGTACGCTATGCAACGTAGGCCCCGCCCCACCCCTCCCTCTTAGTATGGTTGTCAATGGTATCAACAGGAGCACAGGGGGTAAGTATGTCAGACAATTAACATCAGATACCAATTATTTACTACTCTCATAACTATGTACATAAAAAATACGTATATGGGTCGATATGACACACAGGGGTGGGGGCAGCCGCCACTCAACCTACATCCACGTGGGCGGCCTTGTACGCAAGAGGTTCTGAACAGGGGGAGTTTAAGGAAGAAGATAAAAAATGATTTTATTTTTCTTGTTTTCTTTATGTTTTTCTTCGTTTTTGCACTCTGATATCTTGTGACAATATATACTCCGACGTTGCTAGCTCTCTGTTGTTGTAGATGATGCGGCGAGCGTCGGGCCTGTACTAGCAGACTCTTCTTTGGTTATGGTAGAAAATATTTTTCTTATTCTCTTTCTCTATTTTTTATTTTGCCATTCTTTTTTGCTTTACTCTTCCCCATTGTTGGGGTGTTTTATTTTGCGGACCTGCTGTAGGGTTCCGTTATTTTACTATGGATATGGTAAAATCTGTTTTGGTGGTGATTTTTCGGCACCCTTGTCTGCATCCCGGTTGGTTTAGTCCCGTTGTTCAGCTTTCGGTAGGTGGAGCTCCGTGGCGGTGATTTCGTATGGGACTTGTCAGCCGGGGTTTTTCTTATCTTTTTAGCATTCTAGGTGGTTGTTTCCCGTTGTTCGGCTTGTGCGTAGGGGGCGGTGTTTTTTTGTGGGAATCGACATCTAGGATAATCATTGTTTTTTATGTTTTTTTTTTGTTGTTGGTGTCTTGTAATTTAGTTTAGACCAGCGAAGCGGTGACTTGACAATTTAAATCGATACCAGTTTTTGCAACAACAACAACAAAATAACAATCGCGAAGGATTTTTGGAGATGGCGCGCACAAAAGGTATATTATCTGGGATTGTTTATTTGTAGGCAAGGGTATTTTTGAATCTTGGTTGGTGTTGTCCCATTGTTTGGGCCTGATGGTGGGGGCGGTGTTTGCATGTGGGACTTGGAAAGATGCAAGGCAATGATTTTTGTCTTTTGTTCATGTCGAGAGTTCCACCACTGCCGCTCCGAGTTCCGCCAGCAGGTGCAGCCGGCTACTCCTCAGTGAAGCACAGACCCGAATGGAAAAAGGCTGAAACGCGCTGCGCACCTGTCCGCCTGCACAGGTAAGATACAAAAAAAAAAAAAAAAAAAAAAAAAAAAAACGACCATCTTTGGGGCCTCGCAACAATGAACGACCCCAACATTCCGAATTAGATCCGTGCCATCGATCTCCCTATTCAACGCATGGTCGGACAACCCTTTCCCGACTTTCCTATACCGGTCGGTGTCCAGCGACCATGCGTCCTCCGCCGCGACCTCGACCATGTTACCTCACAGAACTATCGGTCCCCCTCCAATCGGCGACCACGACGTCCTGTGTACCCACTTATACCCACTTACACCTGTTTTTAAGCCCTAGTTGCAAGATCTCCATCCGACAACATTGTGAATATGTTGTGAATGCAGCTGGACACCGTGACCGTCTCGTTGCATCCGAAAAGGTCGACGACATTCCCCAAATGGAAACACAGTCGCTACACGACAAAACGCGACCCCGTATACGCAGCCATTCCTGGCTGCGAATTGGCTGGCGATCCGTGACACCCAGTGAGGGTAGGACTAAGCAAGCACGTTTTTTGTTTGACCAGGTTCTTCGTGTTTACTCAGCCTAGACATAGGGATAATTAGTAGAAAGAGCCCACGCCCAAACCTATTCAGTTTGGGGCGCCCGAAACTCGCCCGTTTGGTACTAGCGGCCCAATGACTTCCATGTGGGGTACTATAGGCCCACGCGTCGCTCCAAGGGTACTACCGGACCAAGAATCTGGCGCATAACAGTGCGAGATTCATTTTGATGTAAAAGAGGCCAAGGGTGATACCGCTGAAGTATAGAATGAGGCCCACGTACGGTATTTTGAAACATAAGGACCCTACCGGTTCATGAATCTGGCCCAAGAACAACGCCAAATTCTTGAACCGGTATGGCTATGGCGCGAAGGCGCCTTTCACTCACGCTGAAGACGTTTGGGCCCGTAGTACCTCACTGCCGAGTTTTAGGCGCCCAAAACCGAAAAGTTTTTTTTTTTTTTTTTTTTTTTTCCTCGAAGAAACAAAGGCTCCGATCTATTTGTGGGGAGCGTCACAGCTGGGAAATGGGCCCAACGTCCCTTATAAACCATATGCAGCAATTAAGGGCCGGGGTCCTCACAAAACCGAAATGGTTTTTTTTTTTTTTTTTTTTTTTTT